CATGAAAATGGATGAACCTAAGAAGGAGAGGAGTCTGGCTCTCAAAATAGCTAAAGGTGCAGATCTGGAGGATGATGAAATGGCCATGATCATAAAGGATTTCAAAAAGTACCTAATGATAGGAAATGGTTCTTCAAAAGGTACAACCTTCAAAAAATCAAGGGCTCCTAAAAAACAGACCAACGAGGGTTGTTACAAATGTGGCAAGACTGATCACTTGATCAAGAACTGTCCTCAGTGGGTAATTGAATGGAAGAAGGAAAAGGCTGAACAAAGGAACAGAAAGAAGGAACAGGTTCAACCCAAAAGGAACAAAGTATCAACAAAGGCTATGGTCGCTGCTGGGGAGAAACATCAGATGAGGATTCAGAAGATGAAGTTGGAGATGAACAAGCACTTATGGCCATCAAAGAATCAAATGATGAACAATAGGTAAATGTCCTTCATCTCAAAGACAAGATTAAATTTCTGTCTAAAGAAAGTTTGTCTGAACTATTGCTGGACTTCATCGATGAGTCTGAAATAATTAACAATGAGAAGGAAGAGCTGTCTAGGGAGTGTGTGATCTTAAAAGCCAAGTGCAAAAATCTAGAATCTAGGGCTAATGAGAGTGACAGTAAAAATACTGAGTTGAAGAACCAGGTTCTTGAACTTGACAACAGTGTCCTAGAACTTAGATCTGATAATTTAAAACTAAAATTAGGAACAGGTAAGAAGAAAGCTGATCACACACATCTCACCTTAGAAGAAGACCTAGGAAAAATGAAGGATGAGTTGTACAAGAAAGATGAGCAGATAAGAGTCTTAAAAGAAGACCTAGGAAAGGTAAAACATGAATTAGACAGAATTTACAAATGGAATAAGGCTTCTGATGCAATATCCTGGCTACAAGAACATCACAATAGCAACAATAGAGGACTTGGCTATGGGGCACAAGCACCTAAGTGCAACCCCAAAAGAAAGTACCTCACTCTTCCTAAAAACAAAATCTGCACACACTGTGGCAAGACTGGTCATTACAAAAATGAATGTAATGCAAAAGAAAAGGCCAGTCAAAAGAACAAAGCTTTTGTTCAAGAGAAAAATAGGCTGCCTGGGTGGGCTAAAAGGAATTTGATTTATCATTTTGCCTATAGAAAGGGACCCAAACTAGTTTGGGTTCTTAAGACTAACCCCTGATTTCTTTTTGCAGGTCCAAGTGAAGGGAAGTAGCCAAATATAGTATATGGATAGTGGCTGCTCAAAACATATGACTGGAAGCAAGAACCAATTCCTTTCACTTGAGGACTTAAAATGAGGTAATGTCTCTTTTGGAAATGGGAAATGTGAGATTATTGGGGTTGGAAAGGTAGGCAAGACAGACTCACACTCCATTGAGAATGTCTATTTGATAGATGGCTTGAAATATAGCCTAATCAGTATATCACAACTGTGTGATAGAGGTAACCTTGTAGCATTTACCTCTACCAAATGCTTTGTGATTAACCCTACCACTGACAAGATTGTTTTGCAGGGAAAAAGAGTTAACAATATTTATATTGTATATTTGTCTACTCTTTCAGAAAATGAACTCACTTGCTTGAGTATGTTGGACAATGATCCCCTCATGTGGCACAAAAGACTTGGTCATGCACGTCTGAATCAACTCAACAAATTAGTCTCTAAGGACTTGGTGATAGGGTTACCAAACATCAAGTTCAAGGAAGACAAAGTTTGTGAGGCCTGTGCAAGGGGGAGGCAGGTAAGATCATCCTTTAAAAGCAAGAAATTGGTAAGCACGACCAGGACGTTGGAACTGGTTCATATGGATCTATGTGGTCTAATGACAACATTAAGCAGAGGTGGTAAGAGATATGTGATGGTACTTGTTGATGATTATTCTAGGTTTACCTGGGTACTATTCTTAACAACTAACGATGAAGCATTTGATAGTTTACTGCCTTTGTTAGAAAAACTTAGAAACAACTAGGTAATCAACTTGCATCCATCAGGTCTGATCATGGAATTGAATTTGAAAATGCTAAGTTTGCTGAATTTTGTGATGAGCATGATATAGCTCATAACTTCCCTGCCCCTAGGACTCCTCAACAAAATGGAGTAGTTGAAAGGAAGAATATGACTCTTGAAGATATGGCTAGGACTATGATTCTTTCTAGTAAACTTCCCCATAGCTTCTGGGCAGAGGCTGTCAATACTGTATATTATATCATAAATAGATGCATGACTAGACCTCTTGTAGAGAAGACTCCCTATGAGTTACTAAAGGGAAAAAACCAAATATATCCCATCTTAGGGCATTTTGATGTAAGTGCATTATGCACAATAATGGAAAGGACTCCCTAGGTAAGTTTGATCCCAGAAGTGATGAGAGAGTATTCTTGGGATATTCTTCACATAGCAAAGCATATAAAGTGTTCAATAAAAGAACTTTGTGTGTTGAAGAAAGTATACATGTAGTGTTTGATGAAACTAACATTCTTTCTGAGAGACAAGAACATGAAGATGAAGCTATTGGGATAGTAAAAGATTTGAGTGAAATCTCAGCTCAAGCTAAAGTGGCTCTAAAAGAAGGAATATGTAATGGAACATGTTCTTCCATCCAGGGCAACCTGATAGGGGGAACTGATCAAAGAGGAACTGAAACCAATCCCCTAAAGGAACCTATTCATGATCCTGTTCCTCAGTAACAAAACATGGGAGAAACATTAAGCAGAAATCAGTTGGTTGTGAAACCTCACAAGTATCAAAGTTCTCATCCTATTGAGAACATAATTACTGATCCAACCTCTAGAGTCAAAACTAGATCACAATTAAAGAATCTGTGTGCTTTTGATGCTTTCCTATCTATTATTGAACCTAAAAATATTGTTGAGGCTTTGCAGGATGCAGACTGGGTAAATACAATGCAAGATGAACTCAATCAGTTCGAGAGAAGTCAAGTTTGGCATCTAGTTCCAAGACCCAAGGACAGATCAGTGATTGGCACAAATGGGTCTTCAGAAACAAGCTTGATGAAGATGGAACAGTTACAAGAAATAAGGCAAGACTGGTGGTCCAAGGTTACAACCAAGAAGAGGGTATATATTATGATGAGACTTTTGCTCCAGTTGCAAGACTGGAGGCAATAAGACTTCTCATAGCTTTTGCAGCACACATGAAATTCACTCTTCATCTGATGGATGTCAAAAGTGCCTTCCTGAATGGCTACCTAATGGAAGAAGTGTTTGTTAAACGACCTCCAGGGTCTGAGAGCAAGGAATGTCCTGAACATGAATAAAAATTAGACAAGGCTCTCTATGGACTCAAGCAGGCTCCTAGAGCATAGTATGAATGATTGTCCAAATTTCTGCTTGAGCATCACTACAAAAGAGGTAAAATTGACAGTACTCTATATTTGAGGGAAAAAGGTAAGGATCTTCTTGTGGTACAAATATATGTTGATGACATAATTTTTGGGGCAAACACTGAGAAAATATGTAAGGATTTTTCCAAATTAATAGGGAATGAGTTTGAAATGAGTATGATGGGTGAGCTTAACTTTTTCTTAGGCTTACAGATCAAACAAAGCCCAAATGGAACCATGATCCATCAATAGAAATATGCAAAGAAGCTGATCAAAAAGTTTAAAATGGATGAATCAAAGGAAACAGACACCCCCATTGCAACCGCCACTAAATTAGACATAGATGAACCTGGTTCATCAGTTCATCAGAAGATGTATAGGGGTATGATTGGTTCACTTTTGTATCTTACTGCCAGCAGACCTAACATAATTTTTAGTGTAAGGCTTTGTGCTCGCTTTCAGGCTAATCCAAAGGAATCTCACTTGACTACTGTCAAGAGGATACTAAGATATTTGAAAGGCACTATTGATCTGTGTCTTTGGTACCCTAAAGGTAGTAATTTCAATCTAGTAGGATATGCTGATGCTGATTATGCAGGTTTCCTTGTGGATAGGAAAAACACCTCATGTATGGATCATTTTCTTGGTTCATGTCTTGTATCACGGGCCACTAAAAAGCAAAATTTTGTGGCCTTATCCACTGCTAAGGCTGGATATGTTGCTGTTGCCTCTTGTTGTGCTCAATTGCTGTGGATCAAACAACAGCTAGTAGATTTTGGCATTGAAGTTGGTTGCATTCCTATCTTCTGTGATAACACTAGTGCTATAAGTATGACAAAGAACCCTGTTCATCATAAGAGGACTAAGCACATAGATGTTAGACACCACTTCTTAAGAGATTACTATGAGAAAGGATTGAGCTCCATAGAATTTTGTGCTACTGATAAACAAATTGCTGACATCTTCACTAAAACACTAACTAGAGAAAACTTTGAGAGGAACAAGTTGGAGTTAGGGATTATTAAGATCACCTAATAGGACCAGCTCAAAATGCAAAATGGAAAAAATTGATTTTTTTGTCTACCTGAACTTGTGTAAATATCTAGATTAATTTTTACTCAACTTCACACTATAATTATATACTCCTGTGACATGTGTTAATATGACTCACTGATCTCTTACAAAATTTTCTCTATTATGGCAATTGAGGCATGTTCAAGAGAATTCTAAATGAAGAACCTGGTTCATCGGTATGGGTTCATCTGAAAGCTAAGGTATGCTTTCTATACTCTACATAATTAGAAATATAAATATTTAAATCATGAGCAGAAGTCCTACAATTGATTCAATTCTTTAGAAAATTCTATCCATTAGTTTTGAACCAGTTCCATCAGCCTTAGAACTCTAAACCACAAAAATTTCCTAAAATCTTGGGAAGCTTAACCGATCATTTAAACCTGCAATTTCAGGTCGATTAGACCTCTAATTGACCACTGCTAAAGTTGTCATTCTACATTAAATGTGTATTTCTCTTTAAATACACATCATTACCTCCTGCCATCTCCATAGTTCTAAACTGTCAAAAATTCGTTTTCACTTTTATTTGCTTTCTTCTCCAAAATTCTAACTCACCAATTCTCTCAAGAAACCAGCTATCATGACAAAACCACAAGACAATCCTGGAACTCCACCACCACCCACTCTCTCTAATTCATCTACCCCTCATCCACCCAGTACATCTCCCAAACCCAGGCTGAGAAGGGTGAAAATGCTTGCTTGGAAAACAGTAGCGTCTGGGGCTCTCAAAAAGAAATTAAATGAGAAATTAAATGAGAAATTAAAGGCAAGCCAAGTCCAAGACTCTGACTCCAACTCTGATTTTGAGTCATACATATCCGCTAGTGAGGGGGAAGGACTTGGGTCTTCTGACTCTGAAAAGACTCAAAAATCCCCTTTTAAGGTAAGTTCTTCTTTGTCTGAAAATCTAGAAATTAGGTTTGTTCTGGTTGGGCCTATTAAGGATGTAGAATTACCTAAGTTACGAAGGAGTGGAGGTAAAAAGAAATCCGAAAAAAAAAGAGAGAGAGGGTGCATGTGGTGACGAGAGGGGAAATAGGAAAAGAGTGGTTGATCATTCACCCACTGCTGATTTGTCTATGCCTACTATTTGTGGGGTTGAATAAGAAAATGTAGAAGAGAGTGGAAAGAAGTCAGGGGAAAGTGGTTTTGGTGAAGCTGCTGAAGGGTTAGTTCATCTAAGCACACAAGGAGATGAACTTGGTTCATCTACTGAAGAGACCCTAGCTGACCTGTTGAAAACGGTTGGGGCAAGTTATGATCCAAAAAAACGAAGAACTCCTACACCAAAAACCCCCAGTTCTCCAAAACCCTCCAACAAAAGAAAGGCTTCATCCCCAACAACTACTGAAATTTCATTGCCAAAGGGAAGAGCTACAAGAAGCAGGGCAAAGCAGAATGACAGTGATATTCAAAAGGCTCTAGCTGAGAGTAAGAAGAAAAAGCCCGCTAAAGGAAAAGGGAAGGTTGCAGAGTCCTCAGAGGTTGTGGAGGTGGAGGAGATGGAATAGGTCCATCAGGAGGAAGTTCAAATAGTGGAGGTTCAGACCCCCAAGCCCAAAAAGTCCAAGACATCTTCCAAGAAGTCTTCCTCTGTGTCTAAGGCTGCTAAACCTTCATTAGCCAAAAGCACAAGGTCTGCAGTGAAAAGTAAACAAGTAAGAATTTCTGAAGATGAGGAATGGAGTGGCGAAGAAGAAGACGATGAGTTTGATGGTGAACAAGACAAGCTTGCCAGGGGTGGAAGGACATGGTCCTTCAGATGGATTGTAGGCTAGCCAAGAATGAGATCATTGAGTTCATGGCAAATGAGGAGGTTAAGGATGTCAAGGTTAACATCCTGGTGAAAGGAGTTCAAGTGTCCTTTGATGCAGAGAAACTAGGAGAGATCCTTGATATACTCTCTGAAGGGTTTGATGACTATACAAGGTAAAGGTGGTCTTGTCTGGACTCCCTTCCTACTGCCCTTGACATTACCAGGAGGTTCTGTGATGCTGAAGATGTGAATAAGGCTAGGGCTGTTCAGAAAAGTGAAATGAGGCCTCAGCACAAGGTCTTGTTTGAATTTGTCAATACATGCCTATTGCCCAGACAGGAGGGAAGGCATATTGCAAATTATATGGACCTAGTTCTTATGGAGTGCCTGGAAAGTGGAAGGCAATTAATTGGCCTGCCTTCATCATTAAGCTGCGGTCATCAATGGATCAAAGGCTCATGCTACCCAAGCAAGGATCACTTTGGCATTAACACTCTGATTTCTTGTGACTATTTTGTCAATGCCATCCCAATTGAACCTGATTCATCCAAGAAGACTCCTATCAATAGTAAAGTCATGGCTCTTGTTCAGGAATGTGAAGCCAAGGATGCTGAGATAGCTAGGCTCAAGGCTCATGTGGTAGAGGTGGAATCTGAGGGGATTCTCTCAGAATTGAGTTTGCCAAGGAAAAGGAGAAGAATGATGGAATTCTTCATAATATGCTGAATCTTCTCCAAGCCCAAAACCAACCCTCTAGCTCCCCCAATCCTTAGGAATTCTAGCTTTTGTCTCCTGAACCTGTCTAGTACCTTCATTGACCCGGATTAGGGATTTTTCTATCTTTTTGCTCATGGTTTAAATGTTTTTTGTTTTCTGGTTGTGGATGGTGTTAGCAACATATCCTCTATCAATGATATCTACTGTTTTTGCTCTTGTTCTATATTAATCTTTCCTTGATAGTTTAAATATGTTTGCTTGATTACTAATGATTAAACCATGATTGCACTTGCAGTTGCCCCAATGGCCATGAGTACTTATTAAAATCTAGGAATCACATTTTGTATGCAACTTTTCGATGAAGCCAAAAGGGGTAAGAGATATTGTGCTTTACATATTCTAAATTAAGTGATATTTATAACCTAATTAACCTGGTCCTTGATGATAAGTGAATTTTCTAAACTTTGAATTGATGGTTCAACTGAGTTCTTACAGGATCCAAGTAGGAAAAAAGCACAGAGTTTGTCATCATCAAAAAAGGGGAATTTGTTGGCCCAAGAACAGGTGAAGTTTTGAAGATTGATAAAAGAACTCAGACATGGACCAGGTCCATCTTGTGAAGCACAGTCACGATCAACCTATACATGTGAGATACACGTGAAGGAGATAAATATAACTGATCAAGAAGCAATATCTCCTGATCTGATCGAAAAGATTGCATATTGGATAAGGAGAGAAAGACTCCTTACATGAAGAGAACACAGTTTAGGAAGAAGATAGTGTTAGAGTTTGAGATCACCATGAACTCTTCTACGATAAAAGAGTAGCGATTGGATCCCAGTCAAACTCTGATTACTAACCTATTAAATGCCAGTGTTGTTCTCTTTTATAGGTAATGCACATAAGCAGAAGTTAAAATTAAATTGAGAGCAAAAGAGCAAAGCGATTTTGCAAGCAATTTATGTGTAATTTGAGGGTGCAATCCTGAAGCTACTTGAACGAGATAGAAGAACCAGTTCCATGTGTCTATCTTTTATTCTAGTTCAATTGTAGTAGGTGATTTTACATTGTACCTTTTAGCTTTCATAGAAGAAATTGTATTAGGTACCTACAATGTTCAAGTTAGAGTTAACTTGAAGTTGTCGCAACAGTTGAGGCTGTGTGCCATAATGGGATTAGAGTTAATCCATAGGTTTACAAAGAGTTTTGTAAATGTTATTTTGGCTCAGTGATTTTAGTGGAAGTTTGGGAAAATCCTACTGAGTAGTAGGTCGTGGTTTTTTCACCTTTTGAGCCAGGTATTTTTCATGTAAAAATCTCTGTGTTCTTTATTTTTTGTATTTATTATTCCACAAACAGTAGTAGTTGGAATACCTAGAAGAACCAGGTCCTTTTATAGTTCAGTTAAGCGAAAATTGGGTACCATACAAATCACCCCCCTCTTGTGTGGTATTGACGCTTAAAACATCATACCCATTCTCATGCAAATGTTAAAATAAACTCAGTTTCCCAATTTACTAACACCCCAATTGTTATTATAAATAGTTATTATAGACCAGATATTAATGAATGAATTACAATAAACTATAGGAAGCCGCAATAGGCCCAAATACAACTGGACAGGCCAGGCCTTCATCTCATAGTAGCTCCAAAAAATCATGTTCATAGAGACACATTAACCAACAATTCTTGATTCACATATATCTCAAGGATAAGCATACAAAACCCAAATCTCTTGTGTGTCAGAGTTCCCAAGGGCTTCAAGAACTCAGGGCAGTGCTCACATTAGAGAAGAATGATCAGAACAGTTCAAAGAGGACTAGGGACCAACTCCTAGTGTGTCAAAGTTCACAAGAGTCTCACATGGACCTCGAGCAGTGATCACACTAGGAAGGTCAAGGATAGAGCATAAAATAGCCTTGGCTTTCAGCCGGCTAAGAATGAAGATTCAAAGACACCTGATAGTAAAGGAATAAGAGGGAGTAGAATGGATTAGGGAATTCATTTGAGGACAGAATAACATATATAACATGTAAAAAATAGCAAACACATTTGAACCTAAGCATACTTAATCCAGTTTAGGAATTAACAATCAGTCGTATGCTAGTAAGGCTAGTTCATAAGCAGATTCATAATGATAATAAAGATTTTTGATTAGACTAAGTCATAGAAAGGGAGCTCATTGATTAATAGTAGGTCATAAACTGATTAAGATAATTTAACAGAGGTGTTATAGCATAGTGAGCACAAAATCAAACAGATTACATGGTAAGAGGTTCAATAAACAAATTGATGAATCTGTTAAGGCACACATAATTAAACAGTCCTTAAGAAAGGTATGAAAGCCTGTTTGATGCTAAAAATAGTTCTAGATTACATAGAGTTAGGAAGATTGAATTAATCAATTCCAACTAAGTTCAACATGTCTTAAATATAGGTAATAGCTTCTAGGATAACATGGTTTACTAATAGTAACACATTAAGCAGGTAATCATAATGGAATAACAAAGTATTCAGTGACTTACCAGTTAAGATGAAACAGGGAAGAAAGAAATTCAACAGTATAGCAAATACCTCAAACAGAAGCAAAGACTTTTAAAAGGCTTTCAGCCGGCCAAGAATCAAAACACAGAATATGATTGCTCAAGAGAGTAAGAGTACATAGCTTTTGTTTAGAGTAGTGAAAAGATTTTCAAATTTAGAATCTCTTATTTTAAAAGGGGAGTGGGGAGGGGTTTATATAGTGACAGAAATCAATATATATATATATATATATATATNATTTAGGGCATAAATTAAGGGATTCAGCGAGTTAACTGAAAATTACTCAGAACATAATAAAAGTGTTCACAATATTAGGGCAAGTATTAAAAGAAACACAGCTAATACCCAAACAAGGAAATTATTCGGAATTTCTAAGCAAATAACACCAGACAAACTTGTTCAGCATATTAAGGAAAATATAAAGAGAAGGTAATCGAACACAAAAATAAAAGATTCACCTGAATCAATAAGAAAAGGGAAAAAAAAATTCAAACCCTAGTTTTTTATGGGAATTTAAAATCATTAAAAAGAAAAATACAAAATAAAAAAAGGTGAAAATCACACGAGATGAGATGAATAGAAGCAGAATAGTGTTAAAAATCAGAAAATCAAACCTATTTAGGTCGATTGAAAGAGTTTGAAAACCCTAATTTGGGGTCAGTAACAATCAAAGAAGATACGAACATGCTCGTTACTCAAAAAAACTCAGAGATGAATATAGATGGGATAGCCACACAAATCAGAGAGTTGAACCGATTTGATTCAATTTTGGCATGATTTGCTTGCCATGTTAGGCAAGCAACTAAATAGGATCATAGACGAGTAGCCAGTGGTAAGGAGAGGCGAATAAGGTAAGGGAATCCATAGTGGATTCTGATTTGGGGTCGAATTTGTTAGAACAGTGGCTAGGGTTTATCAGGGGAAGGGAAATGAGGGCGACAACTTTAGAGAAGTGAGGGTTAGGGTAGAGAGGAAAGGATATAAGGGAAGATGGGCGTTATTTGTTAGCCGTTGATCATTTTTGATCAATGGCCAGGATTTAGACGGATTGGGGTTGGGTTTTAATTAATGGGTAGGGTATTCGACTTAGGAAAATTGGGTTGGTTTGGGTATTTTTAGGTCCGAATTTAAATAAAAAATGGAGCCAGATTTTAAATACCCAAATTTAACTAATAAATAAATTTTAAAACATGATAACAAATAATAAAAATATTATTTGCATGTAAAAACAAATAAAAACAGTTATTTATCATTATAAAAGTATAACAAGATTAGTTTGGCATAAATAAAATAATTATAAGTGCATATAGGCTATTATTGCAAATTGTGAAATTTGGCCTAACAAAATACGAATGTAATTGTAATAAATATATTAAAATTGTTTATAACCTAATACGGGTGTAAATGATAAGTTTAGATGATAAAATTATCATAAAATAATTTGTAAGGTAATTAATAGATATTTATATAATAAAAATACAGAAATAAATTGAT